TCCCCCCATCCTCACCCCTCTGTCCTGCTAATTTAATCAGCTCAGGGTAAAAAACAACCCAGCCTCGGTAAGAACGTCATTGTTTGCCCCGAATGTGAATAGGCAGCTGATTGGCTAATGTTTACATGTCTGTGGGAATGTTTGTGAGGTATGACACTGTTTCTGGTTTGAGTGAAAGGACAAACTCTTTGGCAGTTATGTGATTGTATTGTGAGGCGTTCAACTGCCAAGGTGCAAGCCACGCATGATTTATAAATTGGGCCATATGAATTCAAATGTACTTTTTGTATTTGTTCAGTTGGCAGTCTAAATTCCAATACAATATATAACAAGGTTATTCAGGTGACCTTAATCAACCAAATGCTCAAAATGTCAGTTACGAAAGGAAAAACAGTCAGTGGCAATTCACATGTTTCTCTGGATAAGCACATTTTTAATAAACTGATTTGTTTTACTTGTTGTGGAAGATTATAAAGGACATTTCCAGCATCAGCAGATGTATTAGGATGAATCCTCATGACACATTTTATTGCAATTCATTAAAATGTTGTTCCTCTGGATCAATGATATGGCATTGTTTGAACATCAGTGCTAAGTGTTTCATGTCGCTTCATTTCCTTCGTGAAGTATGTTATAATTTTGGTTCGGTTTGCGTGTTTGTCAGCAGGATTATGGAACAATAACTGATCTTATTTGAATAAAGGGAGGTGGAGTGCTGTAGCATTTGCCAGAGATGCACAAATTACTTTTTCTTGTGAGATAAGGCATTTGTTTGGCATTCGCTTATGTCTGCTAACTTTGGGTCCCCTTCTTGCTTTACTGGGATTTATGTCTCCAGAATAAGCTCCTCTGACCCCTTGACCCTTAATTAAGACTTTTTAACACTGTACGACAATACAACGTGCTGTATATCCCGTGAAAAATAGGGATTTGAGCGCCTTAGTCTTGATATACCAAGGTAGAATTCATTACATTAATTTGATTAGCACAGTAATAAATGTCAATTGCCATTACCGTCATGGCTCATTACAAATTATTTACTTTAATTACATTAACAGCTCTAACATAGCTTTACAGTCACTCTGCATGAGAGTTTGAACTAATAGACTGTAATTTAAAAGTAGGAGCAGGCAATTATTACAGCGTTTTGTAAAGCAAATGCACATTTTCATCAGTAAACTATAATCTACCCTGGCAGTGGCAATGCAACATGATTGTGTTAAGATGAAAGCTGTCATTTTTGTCAGTGCGACTTCATCTGTCAAAACACCATCCGCCCTCCAGCCGCACGACCACGCCAGCCTCCATCCAGCGCGTCATCCTGACAGCCTCTGACAGCCCGATGGCTGACGTGTAAGCGAGCTTATGGCTCAACAATAGCTTCAAAACCGGCCTCACATGCAGCCAGACACCAGCACAAACTAAGAAGTGTGTGTTTAGACACTTCTTTCTTTCTTTTGATGAATTGATTTTCGCCAGACGTCAGCCTTCACCATGTGAAGTGATGAATGGGGGATTATTGTGGCCGCCAATCGAAGCAAATCAATTTCTGGTGACCTGCCTTGTAGCGGTGACCCAGAAGAGTGTGTGTGTGTGTGTGTGTGTGTGTGTGTGTGTGTGTGTGTGTGTGTGTGTGTGTGTGTGTGTGTGTGTGTGTGTGTGTGTGTGTGTGTTCGTGTGTGTGTGGTGTTTTGTGTG